AGATAGATAGATAGATAGATAGATAGATAGATAGATAGATAGATAGAATTTGTCTTGGTGCAAATGCTCTCAGCATACCAGGCATGATATTCCCCTCTGAAAAAAAAATCGGGGCCGGCCAAATGAGACCCCCCGCCGCGTGCCAAGAAATCGCACACACAACACCAACGCTACACACCCTTCCTTTCCAGCTGGTCAGGTGTGGATCAGCTCCGGAGCTGGGCAGCCGTTTCCCTGGTGGTGGGGCCAAGGCTGCTGCCCGGGGAGCGCCCGCTGCTTTCCCTCACCAGGACCGGGCGGTGGCGTGTTGCACAGAGGCTGGTCTGCGGCTGCCCGGCTCCCTTTTCCTGCTGCTCAGCGGCCTCCGCTCGCACCGCCCGGGCTCTGCTCAGGTATCCGGCTGGGGCTGTCAGGAGTTGCTATCGCCGGCGCGGCTCCGCACGGCTCCAGTCCCGCGTTGCCTCAGGAAGGGAAAGGCAAAACCGGGAGCCGCTGCTGCCGTTGCAAAGCACCGCCGCGACTCTTCCTTTTTGCCTTTCCCTTCCTGAGGCAACGCGGGACTGGAGCTGCGCTAGTGGTAGCAACTCCTGACTCGGGGTCTCCAAGGGGAGGGGAAGGAGGAGAAGAAGGGGGGTGGAAAGGGGGGGGGCGATTCCCCCAAAAATCGGAATTCCGATTTTAATCGGAAGAATATCATGTCTGGCATACATAAAAGAAAAAATATATTCGTGAAGAATCATAAGGTACAACACTTAATAATAGTCATAGAGTACAAATAAGCAATCAAGTTATACTAGGAAACTGTCAATATAATAAGGGTTTGTCTAGTCTAGAGAAAAGAAGGACTAGAGGGGACATGATAGCAGTATTTGAGAGGTCAAATACAAAGAGAAGGGGGTCAACTTATTTTCCAAAGCACCAGAAGGCCAGGACAAGAAACAATGGATGGAAACTAATCAAGGAGAGAAGCAACCTGGAATTAAGGAGAGAAACTTCCTAACAGTGAGGACAATTAACCAGCGGAACAGCTTTTCACCAGAAACTGTGGGTGCTTCAACACTGGAGGTTTTAAGAAGAGACTGTGCAGTCACTTTTCTGAAATGGTATAGGATTTCCTGCTTCAGCAGGGGGTTGGACTAGAAGACCTCCAAGGTCCCTTCCAGCTCTACTCTGTTTGACTGAGAGCTCAACATCTCCTAAGTATCTTCACAACACTGTTAAGGACCCCTGTAAAAATTGAAACAAATGGTTATTCCTTGAGATCCCTTTCGGGTCTCTCACCTGCGCCTCTCCCTGCTCCTTCTCTTCCTCCGCCTGGCTCAGGAGAAACCCTTCGGCCAAGGCCACCGCCTGGGAGCTGGTCTCTGCTCCACACTCCCGCACCCAGTTCTCCATCTCTGGGGGCAGGAGAGCCAGGAACTGCTCCAGGATCACCAGGTCCAACATCTGCCCCTTGGTGTGTTTTTCCGGCTGCAACCACTGGCGGCAAAGCTGGTGGAGATGGCTGCACATCTTCCGGGGTCCCTGGTCCCACAAGCTGGATGGCGGAGCACCCATCTTCCTCCCGGTCGTTTTCCGCAGGGCATCCCGAAAACCCTTCACGTTCCTCCATGGAGCATCATTCATAAAGGGGAGGTCCGTCTCTGCCTGCTCCTTTGGATGAGGGAAAAAGAGAAGTCGGTGGATACAGGTAGTTGTTGACTGACAAGAGTTCGTTTAGTGACGGTTCAAAGTTACGACGGCACCAGGGGCGGGCTGCTACAGGTTCACACGGGTTCAGGCAATCCTCCAGCTCAGGGGTCGCCAACCTTTTGAACCTCAGGGACCACCAAACTCATTATTTTAAATCCCGCGGACCACTAATGTGAATTTTGACTGACGTGGCTTGGTGATGTTGGTGGGAGGGAGATAGAGATCTGATCTAACCTCTCTTCTCTCTCTCTCTCTCTCTCACACACACACACACACACACAGAGAGAGAGAGAGAGAGAGAGATCCCTCATACACCCACACCTCCTCCAAGGCAGCCACATTCCTAGCCTGCTTTTGACTCCGTTCTCAGAGGGAGCAGGGGGAAGAGAGATCCGATCTAACCTCCAGGGCTGGTGATTTTCTTTCTATTTCTCTCTCTCTCTCTCTCCCTCCCTCACACACCCCTACCAAGGCAGCCACATTCCTAGCCTGCTTTTGAGCTCCGTTCTCAGGTTTCATGCAAGGAAAGCAGCAGAAGTCTTCCTTTCTCTCCCCCCAAGTTCTGCCAGAAATGAGTCTTCGCCGGTGCAGCCTCTTGGAACAGGATGTCTTGCAGGGTCCCAAAAACTCATTTCTGGCGGAGTTCGGGAGAGAGAAAGACTTTTGCTGCTTTCCTTGCGTGCAGCCAAAAGCAGAAGAAAGAAATGGAAGAAGCAACCCTGTGGCCAGGCAAGTTTCCCCCCCCCTCCCTCTACCCTCACTACCCTGTGCTGTTCTCAATGCAAGGGTTGTGTTAGGGTTAGGGTGAGCGTGAGGGTGAGGGTTTGGTTTAGGGTTAGGGTTAGGATTAGGGTGAGGGTTAAGGTTAGGGTTCGGGTTAGGGTTAGGGCTAGGGTTACGTTTAGGGTTAGGGTTAAGGTGAGGGTGAGGTTAGGGTTAGCGTTAGGGTGAGGGTGTGGTTTAGGGTGAGGGTTAGGGTTAGGGTTAAAGTAAGGGTGAGGGTTAGGGTGAGGGTGTGGGTGTGGTTTAGGGTTAGGGTGAGGGTGCGGGTTAAAGTAAGGGTCAGGGTGAGGGTTAGCGTTAGGGTTAGGGTGTGGGTGTGGTTTAGAGTTAGGGTGCGGGTTAGGGTTAAAGTAAGGGTGAGGGTTAGGGTTAGGGTGAGGGTGAGTGTGCGGGTGGGGTGTGGTTTAGGGTTAGGGTGAGGGTGCGGGTTAGGGTTAAGGTTAAGGTTAAGGTTAAGGTTAGGGTGAGGGTGTGGTTTCGGGTTAGAGTTAGGGTGAGGGTGAGGGTGCGGGCCATGTGTGTTCCCGCGGGCCATGTGGGCAGCACAGCCTTGTGTGTCCCCCACAGCCTGGATTAATTGCTTTGGGGGGTGACATTTCTCTGCGGACCACCAAAATTTTCTCGCAGACCACCACTAGGCCCACTGGTTGGCAACCACTAGCCAAGGTTCTGCCTAGTTTGGGGAACCTGTAAATCCCACCCTTTCACCGCACCCCTCTCACCCTACCCCACCCCTCCCAGGAGTCTCCACATGGCCTATTTTGGATGCCAGGTAAGTGCAGGGCCTGCGCAGAGGCTCGGGGAGAGCGAAAAACGGGCCTCCCAGAAGTTCTGGAAGTTCAGAAAATGGGGCTCATTTCTAGCCTTCGGAGAGCCTCTGAAGCCCGGAGGCTTGAGGAAAGCCTCTGGAGCCTGAGGAGGGCAAAAATGTCCCCCTGCCATGGTGCAGGAGACCGACTAGGCCACGTCGACCATAGCTACGCCCACCCAGCAATCAGGAAGAGAACCGGTTGCTGAAGTTTTTGAAGGCCACCCCGGACGGCAGTGAAAAATGTGACCAACCGTTTTACAGACTTAGGACCTTTGCAGCCTTTCCCCCAGGATCATGTGATCAAAATTCAGATGGCTCACCAACCGGTTCATACATACGACCGACCGTTGCAGCCTGACTGAGTCATGTATGATCGCCTTTTGCAAACCCCGACAAGCAACGTCAACGGGTTGGAATGACTCTCCACTTAACAAGCGTGTTACCGACTTATCAACCGCGGGGATTCACTTAACCACCATAGCAAGAAGTGTCGTTAACGGGGGGGGGGGGGGGCAAACTCCTTTCAGGAATGACTCATTTAATGACATGAATATTGGGCTCATGAGCTGAGGACTACCTGTGCAATGATTCGCTTCCCAAGGGAGGGCCAGAAAGGTGTAGTACAATGGGACAAAACTCTCTCCACACACATTGTGCACTTAACCAAAACTCACTCAACAAACGCTTCACTTAACGACAGAAACCTGGGTCGTAAGTGGCGGGAGGGGGAAAGGGCTACCTGGGCAGTCTTTCCTGATTCAAGAGGCTCCCGATGAAGCTGTGCCGCCTCCTCCTGGGGGATTTTTGGCAAGGTCCCCTCGGGAGCTTCCTCCAGATGCGCAGCAACCGGCCAGCTCCGCTCCTTGCACACCAGGCGCAGCGCCTTCTCCAGCATCGGACGCAGCTCCCGCAGGGGCAGCTCGTCTCCTCGCTCGGCCCAGCCTCCCTCCCGCAGGGCTTGGATCAGGCTTCGCACCCGCCACCCCGGCCGGCCTCGCCTTTCCTCCCGCAGCATCCACTCCAGCGCCCAGAGCGCTTCTCGCGGCCGCTTCTCCAGCAGCGCCTCCAGGGCGAGCTGCAGGGCGACCGCGGCGTCCCCGGGCAAAGCGGATCCTTCCTCCTCCTCCTCCAGCCCCGCCGCCACGTTCAGCAGCGCCTCTCGCAGCCCCGCCGCCGGATCCGCGCCTTTGCCCAGCGCTTGGATGCCGCGCAGAAGAGCCACCTCCAGCCTCAGCAAGCCCTGAAGCCGCTCCTGCTCGGCTTGGGAGAGGACCGCGTCCTCGGCTAGCAGAGCCTCCCGGCCTCGCCGGGCTTGCTTGAGCTCCGCGCGAAAGCCCCGCTCCAGATCCGGCGGCTCTCCCGGGTTCCCCGCCCAGCCCCAGCTGGCCCGGATCGGTTCCGACACGTGCGCCGCCAGCAGCGCTTCCGCTTCGGCGAGCCTCCGCGTCAGCTCCTCCGGGGAGAAGCCCGTCGGTGCCATCGCGAGCCCCGCTCCGCTTCTTTACTGTAGGAGCAGGTGGGAACCCCGCCCTCTTTTGCTGGCCCCTCCTCCCCAGAGGCGGAGCTTCGTGAGCGCCGCCCCTTTCCGTCTTTTCTCCCCCCCTTCCCCCGCGAGGCGGGAATCCCTTTCTCGGGCCCTTCAACCGGGCGCCCGCGGACGCCGCTTCGTGAAAAAAGCGTTGACGTGGCTCGGCCTTTTCTGCGCCCAGATGGGAATAAATATTTAAAGAAGAGACCTCAAGGAGAGAGAATACCTATTTAAAGAAGCACCCTTTTCAAAATGTTAGCGAATAATACCAAACGTAAGGCTGCAAAGAGCTAATTTTAGGGAGTTAAAAGATAGCAGCTTTTTTAAAAAAATATATAGTTTATTAGTTTTTACAATCAAAACCAACCAACACTACATACACAAATAAACGAAAGAAAGGGAAAGAAGAAAGGAAATAGAAGAAAGGAAAATTTGGAGAAAAAAGAGAGAAAAAAGGAAAGTTAAAAGCATTCTTATTTTTGTGTATATGACATAAATCAAGGTTATGGAAAAAGATCTTGCAAACTGTAAAGATAGCAGCTTTGATAAACCTAATTATTTTGACCATAAGGAGAAGCCTCCATGGTATTGGAGCTTTAGGGTAGATTAAGAATGTAAAAGGATCAAGACTATAACATCATGGGATTGTTCAAATAGGGAAAGTCCCCTTTAAATCCTAGGTGAATTGTTCCAGAAGTGGCTCAGTCAAGAGAAGATGCGCTCCAAAATGGAGGGTTTTTAAGTAAAGATTGTCTGAAATAGTATAGGGCAGTGGTGGCTAACCTTTTTCGGCTCCCGTGCCAATAATTATGCGCACACTCGCTTGTGCGCGCTTGCATGCCAACACCCAGAAAGCAATGTGTGCTGCGTGCAACCCCCCTCATGCACCACGCATCTTCTCACACGATTCCCCCTCACGTGCTGTGCGTCTGCGCATGTGTGCATGGTTCCCCCTTTGCCGCTGCGCATCTGCACATGCGTGCATGATTCATATGTGGTGCATCTGCACATGCGATTCCCCCTTTGCGTGCTGAGCATCTGCGCATGCGTGCAATTCCCCTCGTGCATAGCACGTCCCTGTACATGCACGCGCGTCTCCTGTGCATTCCCCCTTCCGCATGCGTGCCAGATACCCAACAATCAGCTGTTGGGGGGGAGAGTACATGCACGCATGCGCAGTGTAGCTCTTCCGGGCGACCTATGGCATGCCAGGGGGGAAATGACTCTGCATGTCATTTCCGGCACGCATGGCATAGGTTCACCAACCCTATGGGGTCTCCTGCTTGAGTAGGGGGTTGGACTAGACCTCCAAGGTTCCTCCCAACTGTCATTCTGTTATATTTGGGGTGCCTGAACTGATAGTGTGGGTTGTGGCCTTGGGGTTATATCAGCTCACCTGCTGCTTGCTGCCATAGAAAAGCGGGGAAGTGATCCGTGAAGAATTTTTCATTGCAGCTTTGCAACTCCAGCCTGGATTTTATCTCTCCAAGGCCATTTCTGTTAGCTCTGCTATGCAGCAGCCTCTGGTTGCCTAGCTACAAGGGAGTTGGGCTGTAGTTTGTTTCAAGTTGCTGTTTTCACCCACTTTGCCTCAGAGCTTGCCTGGTATTTCTGGCTTTTCTAGTAAATTTCCTAGCAAAAATTTCCTAGTAGCTTAACTTTATGAAGCCAAGGGTTTGTCTATCCGAAAGTTTGGCAGTCACCCCTCTCCTAGAAGAATGAAATATTCTAGGAACTATTAAAAAGGCAGAATGTTTCCCCTAAAAGAGAAATAGAAATCTTTAAGGGATACAGAAACTCAGGCTCAGCAGATATTTTGGTGCCAGCTTATCTACAAGACAAAACACTGGGAAATCTTATCTACAAGAAAAAAGACCTTCAGCTCCGAGGTACCTTTACTCAAGATTCAAACCAGGACAAAGCCGTTAACCCATAATATCTAACAAAATGAAATTGAATGTAGAGAAAAGTAAAGTCCTACACTTAGGCAAGAAAAATCAAAAGGACACATATAGACTGGGTGAAACCAGGCTTAATAGCAGTAACTCTGAGAGGAATCTTGGAGTCTTAGTGGACCATCAGCTAAATAGGAGCCAGCAGTGTGCAGTAGCCGCCGCCAAAAAAGCTAATGCAATCCTAAATTGCATTAATAGAGGGATGCAATCAAGATCAAGTGAGGTACTAATACCACTCTATAAAGCCTTAGTAAGACCACACCTAGAGTACTGCATCCAGTTTTGGTCACCACATTGTAAAAAAGATGTTGAGGCTCTAGAAAAAGTGCAGAGGAGAGCAACCAGGATGATTAGGGACTAGAGACTAAAACATATGAAAGATGGTTGCAGGAACTGGGCTTGGCTAGTCTAGTGAAGAAAAGGACCAGGGAAGACAGGATAGCAGTGTTCCAATATTTGAGGGGCTGCCCCAAAGAGGAAGGGGTCAAGCTATTTTCCAAAGCACCTGTAGGCCAGACCAGGAACAATGGATGGAAACTGAAGGAGAGATTTAACCTGGAAATAAGGAGAAATTTTCTGACAGTGAGAACTATCAACCAATGGAACAGAAGTTGCCTTCGGAAGTTTTGGGAGCTTCATCACTGGAGGCTTTCAAGAAGAGATTGGACTGCCATTTGTCAGAAATGATATAGGGTCTCCTGCTTGGGCGGGAGGTTGGACTAGATGGCCTGCAAGGTCCCTTCCAACTCTGTTAAACCTGTTAATAGGAATTGCTCAAAGTTAGCTAAGACCCCCGCATAACCCCCTGAGAGTCTGACAGCCAATAGGCTATAATGGGGACAGAAAGCTCCAGTTCAAAGCCCAAGAGAGGGTATAAATATGTATCTCTCTCCACTCCATGTGGTCATCTACCCAGAATCACACGAGCTTGGTGGGTCTGCTTCCCCATTAAACCACCTTTCCACGCAGCCTCCATATTTCCAGTGCCTTTCTCCCCACTTAGAACTGAACCCAGATGGACATGTCTTCCAACACTAGGAAATGGTCACAGGCAGTCCTGACACAGTGCCCATTGGGGAGCTGCCTAATCATTTATTGCAGCAGACAAGAACGGGAGGCAACAGTGGAGAAGTTCCTCCCAATATATTGTCTGGCAGGGAACTAGAACTGAAACCGTTTCCCTTCAACATCTGTTATGTTTAAACCCAATAATTCAAGATCGGAAGCCCTTTTAAGAATTCACAACAGTTCCTTTATTATTTAAACATTTGAAGTTTGCCAAAGGGCCTCCCACTTGCCGCCTGTCCTGTCCTCCTCCTCGTTCAGGAGGAAGGCTTTTGTCCAAGGCCAGGATCTGAGAACGGTTCCAGGTACACCAGATTCAGTATCTGAAAAATTGGTTTGTCTTTCTGGATTCAGCGACCGATGGCAAAGATGGCGTGGGCAGGTGGGAAAAAAATCTCCTGGTTTCGTGGATTTTTTTGACAGAATTTCTTTCCACATTCCGAGGACTTACACGGCTTCTCCCCAATGTGGATCATTTGGGGGGAGACTGAAGTCAGGGGTCTCCAACCCCAGTTCGCAGCACACTAACAGGCTGTGGCTGTTCAGAACTGAATGGGAGGGAACAGCAGGCTGGCATATATGCATACACAACTCAATTTGTGTGGGTAGTTTGCCAGCGGCGCACACGGAGCTCAACTTGCACACAAGTGGCGGGTCTATGCACAGCTCGACTTGCGCAAGTGACAGGCCAGCACAGGTCACCCCACAACTCGACTTGCACAAGATAGCACGGGCCAGTTCCCCTCTCTCTCTCACACACACACACAGACACAGGGCCTTCGAACTGTAAAAGTTGGGGGCCGCTGAGTTAAGGGACCCACTTTTAATGGAATGCCTTTCCACACTTCTTGCATTTGTGAGTTTTCTCCCCAGTGTGGATCCTTTTATGGGATTTCAGGTTACCCTTCTGAGTAAAGCTCTTTCCACACTCGGTGCACTTATGTGGCTTTTCTTCTGTGTGGATTTTTTTGTGGGAATTCAGGTTACTGCACTGGTTGAAGCACTTTCCGCATTCCGCGCATCTGTAGGGTTTCTCCCCGGTGTGTATCCTCTTGTGGGAGGTGAGCTGAAAGTTGTGGGTAAAATTCTTTCCACACTCGGGACATTTGTACGGTTTCTCTCCTGTGTGATTCATTCTATGGGAATTAAGGTTGGCCTTGTGGTTAAAGCTCTTTCCACAATCTGCGCACTTAAATGGTTTCTGCCCCGTGTGGATTATTTTATGGGAAGTAAGATACCTGCGCTGGCTGAACGTCTTCCCACAATCCATGCATTTATATGGCTTTTCCCCTGGATTGATCCTTTCCCTGGGAGCAAAAGAACTGCTCTCACGGAAAGGTTTCCCGTTCTGTTCATTTGATTTATTTCCGACGTTGGTTTTTCCACATTCAGAAAGGGTAGTAGTCCTATTGCTGCAATTTTCTTCATCCTCTTGGGACGAAGTCTCTTTTTTAGTGAGAATTGTATATGTTTCATGTAAATCTAAGTCTTCTTCAGAGGTTTCCGTGTTTTCCGCTTTTATGTTTTCTTTTGGTTCTCCTTTGGGAAGAATCTCTTGAATTTCAGGAGAGGGCAAATTTGAGCTGTTCTTGCTGTCATTTCCTGACAGATTTCTTTCAGGCTCTTTTGTTTCCGTTGGATTTGCAAAGTCCGCTCTCCTCTCTACATCTCCGAAGGTTTGGGAGGCTTCCTTGTTCTCTTGAACGTGATTTCCTTCAGAGAAAACGAATGCAGGAAAATTGAGGCAAGCAAAAATAAAGAGGAGGCAAGTTAAGAATTCATAGCACAGGAAATAAAAATGTTCTAGTATAATTCTGTCAAGGGTTCTGCATTATTTGGAAAGGTGTTCTGCTGATTAATGTTAAGTAGTCTGGTCTAAGCCAGTGATCTCCAACCTTTCTGGCTTGGCGGCCCAGTATGAATGGCGGTGGAAGAGGGGATGGTTCTGAGCAAATAGCAGGCACGTGTGTGAGCTCGTATACGCACACACTTCTCCTGAGTGGAGCTGCGTGTCAGCTTTGGAAGCCATATTTTACTCAGAAGCTTCCAAGCTGCCCCATCTTAGTGCCTGGGAATTTGGGAGGGGAGAATTTCATGAAGAGGTGGAAGTTTAGACATAACAACATTCTTCTCATAAAGTCAAGGACAAGTTACCCTGCACCTGCAAAGGAGTGGTTGTGTCAACTCATTAAATATTTCTATGGTCTTTTTAGAGTTGCCAACAGAGAGAGAGTTGGAGCAGTGCAGCAAAACCAAAATTTATGCATTCCATAAAATATTTTCAAAGATATTAACTAGGTGACTGAAGTTTCTGCCACATAAAATTCTAACTGATGACTCTTAGCTATGGATGTGTCTCATTGGAGAATATGAATTATGATATACCCAGGAGGTGGGGGGAAAGCTAGGTTCAAGGGTGACAATGAATTATGTGTCTCAGTGTCAGCTACACCCAGGCAGTGCCGGCATGTTAACTCCCAATAAATCCTTTTGAAGTTTTGGAAGTTTGGCTCGAGACTCATGATTTAAATGGGGGTAACTGCCGGAATCCTGACAGGTTGGAGGAGAGTCTCCAGTTGGGACGACGGTTGATTGGGCCAGGTCTGGTGGGTGCAGGAGATGGGTTTTGAAATTTCAATTGGGAAAGGAAAACCTGGAACCCTCCGATTCGGCTTTCCCCAGATGTGCCAGTATCATTAATAAATTCTTACTTGGATCAACTTTGTTTCTGAGTGCTGAATGAAATGGGGAGTTTCATTGGAACACTGACACTGCGAGTGCAATTGCCCACCCATCACGTAAGTGGAGTTGCGTGCGCATGCATGTTCTCCCGCCACTTGTGCAGCCCGTTCCCAAACGGGCTATAGCCCGGTAGTGGGCCGCAGCCCACCAGGGATTGGGGGACCCTGATCTAAGCCGTATAAAATTTGGACTTTCAGGGAAACAGGTGATTATAATGTTCATATGAATAAAACCCCACAGGATAAAAGCGAATTACTTCAGTTTTATGACCTTCTTAAACAATCCCCGCCCCCAAAAATCCACCTGCTTCAATAAATGAGTATATGTATTTATGTATATGTTCATTTATTGAGTTATTTTTGCAAATAACTCAAAGCGGCCAACACATCCAACAGAATGTCCTCCTCCTCCTCTTTTCCCCACAACCACCCTGTGAGGTGAGTTGGGCGAAGAGGGTGTGACTGGCCCAAGGTCATTTGCACCGTTACACGATTTTGTTCAATAAATGAATTCTATTCGTTTGTTTGTTTATGGAATTTAAATTCATTTATTTAAGCAATTTATATTGCCGCCTATTTGGACATGGCGACTCAAGGCGGCTTACGGAATATAAAACATCATATAAAAACAATAAAACTAATAAAAAAAAGAAATCTATAATAAGTTAATAAAATCATCCCCCACCCTGGCAATAGTAGTTAATGGGCTCTGGGTTCCCCAGGCCCACTGGCAGAACCAGCTCTTCAGAGCCTTCTGGAAGAATATTAGAGTGGGGTTCATTCAGGAGTGGCTGCTGTGGGTTCGCATAGGTTCGGGCGATCCTGTAGCTAGGATTCTGTGCAGTTCGGCGAAACCACGAATCCCACCCCTGGCTGCCTCCCGCCCCCCTTTTACAGGAGTCCCCATGCAGCCCGGTTTGGATGCCAGTTAAGTGCAGGGCCTGTGTGGATGCTCAGGGAGGGAGACAAACGGGCCTCCTGGAAGTTCCTGAAGTCCAGAAACGGGGCCATTTCCATCCTCCAGAGGGCCTCCAAAGCCCAGGAGAGGCCATTTTTGCCCTCCCAGAGGCTCGAGGAAAGCCTTCGGAGCCTGGGGAAGGCAAAAACATCCACCGACCCCTGCTGTGGTGCAGGAGGCCGACCAGGCCACGCCCACCCAGCAACCAGGTAGAGAACTGGTCGCTAAACTTTTTGAAGCCCACCCCTGGGCCGTTCTAATCTCTGGAGAGATGATGTTCCATAATTTCAGTTATGGATTCTTATCAAGTCACAGCTGGAATTCAACTTTAAGGAAGTGAGGAATCGGGGAAAAGAAGTTTGTAGTATTTATTCTGGGGGATGGACAAGGGAGATGACGGCAGCCAGGAGCTGCGCTAACTAGCTCTACAGATAGTCCTGGACGTATGACCGCAATTGAGCCCCAAATTTGTGTTGCTAAGTGAGAAATGTGTTGAGTTCTGCCCCATTTTGTGACAGTTCTTGCCACAGGGACTAAGCGAATCCTTGCAGTTGTTAAATTAGTAGCACGGTTGTTAAGTGAGTCGAAAAAAGGGAGCATGTGACACGGCAGCCGTCCTAAAGAGGAACCACTTGTCAAGCATCCAAACGTAAATCGCATGACCACCACGAGATGGTGCAATGTTCCTGAGTGTGATTACTGGTTCTAAGTCCCTTTTGTTCAGTACCACTGTAACACTAAATAAACTGTCGTAAGCCGAAGACTACCTGCAATTTTGTTGCTTGTCTTGAAACACCAGCCATTATCTGGAGAAAAGTTAACAGTTGAGAGTAGAAACAGGGAGGGATTTGAGCAGTCAACATAATAACATTGATTATCTGGTGCCATTTAATCAATCTCTCACCAAGAAGATAAAAAAACCAGCGCTGCATTTTCCCAACCATTTCTTCTAATCATCAGAACAAAGAGCGGGGATCCTTACTCAGAAAGGCTAAATTTCTGGAGTTCTCCAGCATAATTTCTCGGTACAGAGATTTTTGATCAGGATCTAGCTGAGACCATTCCTCCTTGGAAAAATGCACGGCCACCTCTTCGAAAGAGACGAGAACCTGTGTAAAAATAGAAGAGTCCATTTTATTTGCCAGTTCTCGCCTTTCGGCTCAACGATACGTAACACAGACATTTGCAAAGGGTTAGGTCAGTTCACCTATCTCAATTTCATGTCAACATTTCTGCAGGAAGCACACTACATGAGAAAGGGGGTAATAATCATGACAAAAGGCTAGGAGACTAAAAACTATGAAGAACGGTTGCAGGAATTAAAGATGGATACTCTACAGCAGTTGTCCCCAACCTTTTTTGTACCAGGGACCAGTTTCATGCAGAAACACTTTTTCAAGGACCGGAGGGGGGGGGGGGGGCCCCTTTTTCAAGAGGGGGGGGAGGGGGAGGAGTCTGAGTTTGGTGGTTTGCTTGCAGACGTTTCATTACCTGACTAGATAACATCTGATGTTGTTACCTAGTCGGGTAATAAAACGTCTGCCAGCAAACCACCAAGTTCAGGGAGGCTCAGGACAAGTCCCTGCAGGATGGCTGAGAAGCCCCGCCTCTCAGCCCTGCCTCCCTCAGCCTCATCCCTCAGGTGTCTCCCTCCCTCCCTCCCTCCCTCAGCCTCATCCCTCAGGGGTCTCCCTCCCTCCC